TACACCTTCCTTCGGCACAGAATTTCACTTTAGTTTTTACATGAATTCATACTCCCCCAGGGATACTTGCTGAGTTTTGACTTGATCTTGAAAGTATGCAAACATTGGAGAATTTAGCTTGCGTTGAGTGCAAAGATGTGTATCAGTTCAGGCAAGCCCAAAAAGTTTGTAGTGATAACAAATTTCTTGGTTTCACCTGTTTGGGGATTAGAGTAGGTCATTAGACTTCATATGGGTTTAGGTGCCAGTACTTTGTTGGGGTCCCCAGACTTCTAGGGCACGTTCTGAGCAATTTAACCTTTTATTTTATTTTATTCTTTTTTCTTTCCTAGCACCAGTTCCTGAAAATTGCAAAGCCTCTGTCTAGTCTCACTCCTCTGATCATTGCAGCTAAAGAAGCAGCAAAGAACAACCATTAAAGTAATGGAGTCAACATAGTCATCGTGTCAAGCCTTTTAGATGTTTGTTTCAAAGACTGAATTACCTGCCCCACCTCCTTTCTGCTCCTCCTTCGCAGGAGTGCTCTTAAGGCTGTGATCTGCCCAGAAGGGTGGCAGAGGTAGCGTTAGCCAAATGTTGAAAGGCGCGCAGCAGGGACATTGCTGATCTTACGAAGTGAACTGTCTTTCCATCCCCTTGGTGGGGGTGAGTATTTCGTACGGTTGAAAAGATCTTTCTGAGAACGTCTGAACCTGACCTACACGTAGCAAAGCCACTTTGTTTCATATTTCTTATTGTGTTTATTTTTAAAAAAATAATGTGGAGCCTTAGACCATGTTTATCTTAATAAATTAAATCTATTGCTGGCTGGACTTTCTTTGCTTGTGCCAAGCTGCTATTACACCACTGAGGCTGCTTTGTGCTTTGGACGACTTGAGGAGGGAAGGAAGCAGCCAGCAGAAACCCGAACAGCTGTAGTAACTGAAAGGGGGAACAAGGGCATGAATACGAAGGCCCCTTTGCAGCACTGCTGGATGCTTTGAGAGAGCCTGGAGAAAGCCCGTGTGTACTTCCTGCAGCCGTTGGAGAACTTAATTCATGGATGATCTTTCTGCCAAATTTTGGAAATCAGACCCTCCGCACCCTAGTTCCAACTCAACTAGTTAAACAGATCTCTTAAGTGTTTCTGATATTCTAGAAGGTAAATTACAGAAGAAATTGTCAGAGAGACCTTTTAAGGTTGTAGCGCTGTGAGGCTTTTTAGAGACCCCTGCCTGCCCTGTATGATAAAGCAAACAGAGTAACTGTGTTCATAAAGATAAGATTTGCTTGCAAAATGATGTTGAAAACTCTTGTTTCTGAGATGAAGTCCAACGAAAGAGAGATTGACCACAGACACTGCTTTCTTGGAAGCATGGGGACAATGTTAATTTTTTGAAATGAAAGAATAACCTGGTTTCTTTATGCTACTGACTCTAAATCCTCTGGTTGCTGTAGTCTATAAAACAGGAAATATGGAACTACTAGTGAGATCTGTCATAAACACTGTATACTGATTTTTAATAAAATGCCTGCTGCATTTCTTAACTTGGGGCTGTGGGAGGATAGGAGAATTCACTGTCACCAAAGAATTGTCAGGTGGGGTTATTGTTAATGGCATTGTCCCTGGGTGCTTGAATGTGATGGCTGAAAGTGATATGAGCTTCTCTCTTACTCCTCCTTCGGTAGCTCTGTGGGATAACAAAAGTTTGAAAGCTTTGAAGGGAGTAACTCCATGCATAGAGGAACTGGATAAAAGATTGTATAACTGGGGGAGCTGCTTCTTCTGTACTGCTCTCTATACATATCACTTTGGTCGTTTATGGGGTAAGATTAAACCAGTGTTGGAGTAACCTCCTCTCCCTCTCCAAAACAGTTGTGTTGCACAGAAACTCGTTCCTGCTTCTTGCTGAGACCTGCTAGTGGATCAGCCTTGTCCTCTCTGCCTCTCTAGGTGTTGATTCAATTATATTTTTCCCACTCCCTCCACCATACATGGCAGCTCTTACACTGGTCTTGCAGATGGAGCTAAAGAAGTCTGTAAAACCTCTTGCTTCTATGGTGCATGTAATGCTAAGTTGAAACCTTGTCTTTCGGGAAATGGATTTGCGTTTGGGAACAAGTCAGTTCCACTGGTGATGTGTATTCTTGTGCAGCCACTTCTGGGCCTTTCCTGTTACTATACACTTCGACTAGGCAGGCGTGTTTGAGTCTACAACTCATCTTGCTCTTGTCATGCCGGTGTAGCTGTGACTAATTCTGTAGCATCCATGTGGGCTGGAAAATCCTGGCTGCGGACTAATGTGCAGCTGGATGGAGACCTTAGACAAGCTCTGATGTGACTCACAGCCTTCCTCTATCCTTTGCGCTCCAGGGCGGTTGCTGTTTGACCTGAGGCTGTGATGTTTCAAGTCCATTGCCAACATCTGCACCCTTCACCCCTTTGTATGTATTTTTCATCTTACTATAATATTCAGAGTTTCCCCTGACAAAAGCTTGCATCCAAGGATAAATTCGTTGGGCGAAACAGTAAAGGTGCCAGCTTGAGGGGCGATCTGATCTAGTGATGAGCTCTTCTGCCTGGAGCTTGGATGGAGACTCTCAAATGGAAAGTCGCTGCCCTTGAATAATTCCCTTTGATAATGAATTTGTTCATATTTTCTGTGGTGCTCTCACATTGGCCCTCATGGGAGGGAAGGAATTCTGGGACAGATCTCCCTTGATCTCATATCCAGCGCAGCTCTGCTCTTACAGACCGAGCACGGGATTGATCCACAAAGGTGTGGAACGTCCCTGACTTCCCTCTGCCTCCCTCCCTGCCTCCATCCTCAGCCTCCCATCGAGGTGGGAATCGTGATGCAGGTATGCCCGACCTGTGTGCGCGCGTCGGAGCTTATTTTCTGCGGCAGAATTTCTGCTCAATTTCCCTAAAGACTGTAAAAAATATTTTTATGCATTTAAGTCACTCTTCTGGCTTCTCTGTTGCCTGGTTGAAGGGAATCCACACAAATGGCCATTTATTGCCGTTCATTAGCTAGTGATGACAAATCTTCTGTCTCATTGATTGTTACTTCCCCTTTGAATTGGCCATGACTGGTTTCTAATAGCTGCTTGAGAGGGAGTTTGCCAAAGCCTTTTTGTTCTCCACTGGGAAGCTATAAGACTCTGACCTTAGACATGTGTCACCTTGTCCCAGGCTTTCGTTTATTTATTTATTTATTTATTTATTCATTTTGCTCACTGATGATGTGGAAGGAATTGGCTTGCTGCAGTGTCTCCAGGCCCAATTTCAAGTTAACTTGCATGTTGTGTTTTTATGTTCGCAGGAAATCTTGAAAGGTTTGTAACTACCTTAAGCTTAGGAGACTAGCATTTTTTTGGTGGTGCTGTTATGATTTTTTTTTTCCTCCACTCTCTGTGCATCAGCACAGCTTCAGTACCTGTGTTAGCCTTTGCATAACCTCTTACAGCAGTTTTCCTCTCTTAAGTAGTGACTGACTTAAAAATTAACCTCTGTGGCTTTTTTTTTTCTGAAGAACATCTTGACTCCGCTCTGATTGGAAAGCAACGTAGCAAGCCGTCCCTATAGAGAACTTCTTTGGCAGCTTCTTTGTGTTTTACATACTGTAGGAATTAATCTGATTCTACTGAGCCGAAACCATTTTTAATCACAGCCTTTAATTATTTATTCGCCTGTTAACACTAAAGCGTCTCTTCTCTATTAGAACATGAAATATTTAATTCTTTGGCTAGCCAGTCTGAAAATCTTGATTTCCTTTTCCTTTCTTCCTCTTCCTTCCTTGCTGAGGCATCTCCACCAATTCGACTGCGTTATGTACAGAAACAGCATGAAGTGCTACAGCTTACAAAGGCAACTAGCTAGCGAAGCATCCAGGGCCATCTTAATTAAACAGACGTGTTTCTAAAGGACATAAATCTGACCGATTTAGTTGCTACAGGCTCTTCCCTAGACAGACATTATGCCCCTACCAAACTGCATTCTCCTCCTAAACAAAAGGGGTGCATGGCTTCCTTGAGAAAAGAGGCTCTCGGAGAAAGGAAGTTTCCATGGAGACACTTACTTGACTTAAGCGATCTGCTTGGAGCTAGAGAAAAGACTTGGGAGTAAACACCACACCAAGACAAAAGCCAGTATTTTGGGACGCAATGGTTGCCTCAGTGTTTTGTTTCCAACTTGATGCCCCTTTTCAGAGACCTGGTTTTCAGAAAGTGCCAAAAATTTTGCCTGGTCAAAGATGTGAGGCATGTAAAAGGCAGTCGCTTAGCCAATATCTCAGTAAATGTCCTTACACATCTGTATCTCAAAATACTGCAGGTTGGTACAGATAGGCCATGTTCACAGCAAGGTACGATGCAAGAACAGACTCAAGTGGCTTGTAGGTAGGTACTTGGTTTCTTCAGAGTTTGACATCGTTACTCGACAATAAAATTGGTCCAGACCAAAGTGCAGGAAAAATATTTGTTTGAACATCATTCCTAATTAACAGTTTGCACAATCCATTTATGTAGTGGATACCAACATCTTCAACGTTAAAATTGTTAAAGGTGAAGTCTGACTCTCAAATCATCTTCCCAGCATAAAATAATGAGCCTGTTTAATGGCTTTTTATTTGTATTTTGACAGTATTAGAAAGCCTGTAGATGTTATTTTGGGGTCATAAACCCACCAGATAGCATATGGATAATTACTGCTCTAGGATCTCAGTGTTTCTTGCTAATGACAGTTCACAAAATCGAGTTTGGGACTTTAGGGAAGCAGCTGCCAGGCTCAGCAGGGAATAGCAAGCAGTGACAAAAGAGAGCAAATATACCCCAGAGCTGAACAGAAACAGGCAGAACGGATGCCTGCAAAGAAGTGGTAGGAGAGCTACAGAAGAAGGTGGAGTTGGGCCAAGGGGTGCAGGGGCAGAAGGAAGTAAAGATTAAAGACCTCAGTTGCACAAGGGCTTGCTGAGAAACTCCAGGGAGTGTCACAGCAGCCTGCTGCACAGCGAGGTAGGAAAATCCCTGAAGAAAGGGAGCAGTGAGGAGTAAGGAGCCTTTCATGTGAAATGAAGAGGCTCCCAAAGCGGCTGGCGAGCGAAGCGGAGGCTGCGGAGCAGCAACGTAGCTTTGAGTTACAGCACCCACTACGAGAGCTGGAGCTAACCCAAGAGGTTTGCAGAAATGACATCATTCAGCTGAAAAGAAAACTGGGAAGCAGAAGGAAGGAGAAAGCCTTGTCGTGATGGGGAGAGGAAGAGAGACACCGGGTTCGGCTGGTACGTGAAACTGCAGAAGCAAGTTTTAACACAGGCGTCTGGGGACTACAAGAAAACGGTTCCCTCTTCTCTTGCAGGATTGCTATGGCGTCTTCGCTGTCGGCGCTGCTTTGGGATCATTATCAGCTCCAGTTTGTGCTTTGGGCTCTTTTTTGCGATGAAGACTTTGTCAGTCAACAACTACTGTTTTCGGACCAGCTCCAGCTTGCCGACGGACGTCTTTGCGTCATGTTGAACCCAGAAATATGACAGGCTGTTACCATTTTAAAATCGGCTAGATAATTTCTTTCTTTGTGTTGCCTTGGCTTAACTCTCCTACAGTGCCCTGTTTGTTTAATGGATGAGGTCAGCTCAGCAGTTTCAAAAACAAAACTGAAACTTTAAATAAAACCTAAATGAATTACCTCATTTTCCTCCCCTCGCCATTTCAGTGACACGTCAAGTGACAATAGATATGAGTGGGGGTGCTTAAAGGCAGCGTTGTGCTTCTCTGATCTATTTTAGATACTCAGATCTTATTTGATGGAGCACAGTGACTTTACACTAAAACCTGTTGTACTAAGTGTGATTTTTCCCCACCTGTTTTAATGAATTCTGCAGTAATTAAGGCTCTGAGAGTCTCAAATTACTTCTTCTCAACAGCAGCACACAAGAAGGAATCCTATCTAGCACATTTCTGTGTTGGTTGCTATCCTAAACGTTAATATTTAATATAGAGACAACAGCTAAGAAAGACTAAGGTGGTCTTAGCCGTTCCCTTGTCTTTCTAGTTAAGGCTTAAATAACCCTCAGATAAGACAATAACTTCTCTCGTTTGGCCTTCAGTTCCCAGTCTGGGGATGATGGTGGTGGTGCTTTTCTCTCAAAGTCACTTTGCTCCGTGTTGGTAAGAAGATGAGCTTACAAGAGGGCATCCTGTTTGATGTTTTTCTCTGGAGAAACATCGCTCTGGAAGCAGGATCTGGACCACAGCTGGAGGAGGAGGGAAATTACTGCCTTTGTGGATGCCACACGCAGCCACGCTCGCCCTTCTGCAGTTCATTTCCTCCCTGTTTCAGTGAGGCGGACCTGAACATTTTGCCCTGATGAAGTTAAATAAACCAAATCCAGTGCTAGGAGGAAGCGCTCAGGACGGCTTCTGGTGAACACGAGGGTGACAGGAGGTGGAAAGCTCTCTGCCAGGCTCTTGCAAGCCAGGTGGGCACCGAGCCATATGACAGGGGGAGATGAAACACAGCTGGAAAAAAAGGGAACAGCTTGAATAAG